ATTTTTCTACATTAAATTAAGTTTAAATTGTTATTTGTTATTTTATTATTTGTTCATGATATAATATCTATGGTTGCCTGACAAAAGAGCCTTTTATTATCTAATGTTTCACCATTGTAACAATTTAAAGTCTGTAATGAATTTATACATTGAAATAATTGTGTTTTCTTTTTTATTTTCTGTATATATTTAGGGTGAACACATAAACATATTTACTTACATAGATAAATAAAAATTTAAATGAAAACACAGATATAGACACAGACATGTAGATGAATATATGAAATTTTAGATATATAGATGTGACTTTGTAATTTGACCTATACATTTTCTTGGATGCTTCAACTTATTGCCATTACAGTATAAAAGATATTTTAATTTCTTGAATTTCTGATATAGTCTTTCCATTGTGAAGTATTTATAGCACATAGACGTGAATGTTGTGAAAAAATACTGATGACTACCACAGTAAATTATTGCAGTAACCTGCTTTGTAGAGAAAAAAAATAAATGAAAGAAGTTAATTGATTGTCTGAGGGAAAACTTGCTTTGCAACTTTTAGAATTGATGTCTCAATTTATAAATAGAGCATATTTTACATGAGTAGAGAATATTTTACAGAAGTAGAGCATATTTTACATGGACATCCTTCCCCCAAGACTACAAACTGTCCCAGGAGGTGAATTATCGGTGTTCATATGCTTAAACTACACATTGTTATATGTTTTGTTGTATCCCCTGTTATAAGGACTTCCTGCAAATATTGTTTCTTGTTTTTACTGACTTTCCTAAGCTCTTGCTTTAGTAAATATGAGAAAAAAGTCCATTATGCATGGGATACTCTATTAATATTACATAAAATAGAGTGAGCTTAGCACATTCCAATATAAATTTTGTGAGGCATATATATTTCTCACAATACATTTAGAAACATATTCATCTTTAAAATAAAATATCAAATAATTACTAGCCACTGCTTTCTCCACTTTAAGTTGAAAAAGTTTGGAATAATAATATAATGAAGTCACCCATGCTGTTCACAACTGTAGAGACAATATCAAAAACTGATGTGAGCGGCAGACTTTTTAATTCATACTTATAAGACAATCATATGCTCTGGTGTTTCACTGATCAAGTAGGGAGACCAAGAATGATCTTGCCCATGAAGAGAAGTAGAGAGTATGAGAGCACTCATTCCTCCTGCAGTCGATTTACAATTTGGCAAAGGAATGGAATAGAAAATAGAAAAGCCTTGAATACTACCTTAAGAAAATATTCAGGTCTTCTCCTTTTTCCTACCTTTTCTCATAAATGTAAATAAGTATATCACACACACACACACCACGCAACAACAACAACAACAATAAGACCTAGTGAGGTTACCATTTTCTCTTCATAGGCAGATCCCTCATCGTGACTTTAGTGTTTGGGGAGGTGTTTCTTGGTGGTGCTGATGCAGAATGTCTTGGTTAGGCTCCAGAGATCATGCTTTTATTCAGGCTCTTTGCATTCTTACTGTGACCATAAGACCATCTCTTAGCGCTAAATTTAGGGACAAGTGCATTAACATATTAGGACTGCTATGAAAATGTATAAAAGTGCTATAAGGACGCTCTCCTCCCTGTGCATTCCTTACTGTATTTTAATGATGAGAATGGTGGTTTCAGGCAGAGAGATTTGAAGTGACTCATAAAAAAAACAAAAACAAGTTTTTTGGGATGTTTAAAACAATCCAGGATTCATTGATTTCAACTAACTACTGTGTGTGTGTGTGTGTGTGTGTGTGTGTGTGTGTGTGTGTGTGTGTGTGTTCCTAAGTTTTCATATACAATTTGACAGGCTTGGGTATGTAACCTCAGTTTTCTTAGGTCACGCCAGAATTAGAGGGGATTAAAATCCCTTTTCTAAAGTTCTAGAATTTTATGTAAATACCTACATCGCATAATGTCATGGATATTTGGGGGGGATATATTTTAAGCACAACTAATTTTTGAAAACAATTATGCAAGATACAAAGAAAATATTGCTCTATCTCAGGAAACACATTATATTTTACAATACAGTTGGTCATAGTTATAAACTAGTGTCAGGTGAATATAAACAAAGCTAATTAAAACCAATGTCCATTTGGTCCTATTTAGCATACTTTCTTCTTCCTAAAGAAAACTTAATTTTATTTAAGTAGGTAATTTAGGAAGTAAATTGCCCAAGAACCTATTGTTTTAATAATAAAACACCTTACCATAAACCAAACTTACTTTATAATTAATATTACTATTGATTTGATATTACAAATAAAAGAAAAACATATGATAAGACTTTATATATATGTATTGAAGTCAGAAGTATAAATAAAATACCATATTGGACATTTTTAAAGTATCATACTGTTTTTTTCCAATGTTAGATTTGTTTATACTTTAAATTTTCATTTGATGGAACAAAATTAGTCTTAAAGAATAGCAAACTAATGACCCATTACACTGAAGCATCTGCATTAGTGCCAAATAATCATCCATCTAGACTGTTCACTTTCAAAGAGAGCAAGTTCCAGCCAATGTTTATTCATTACACACTCACATCATTCATTAAATTAACTTTTACCTTAATTTATACTTTCTTCCATACAATATATTGCCAAAGTACTCACATAGTTTATGTTATGTGATTTTTCAAAGCATTCTGATTAACTGCAGCTACTCATAGTGCACATATTGTAGGGAATGCATATCTGCCTCAAATCACTACTGATATCTAAAGAGAGGTGAGCCAGAAGAAAAAGGAAAAAAAAAAAACTCCAATTAATTTTTTCAGTCATTTTAGTGAATATATCATAGAAGAAAAAGTGCACTGGCTAAACTTTGCATGTACTGGAGTCACAGGAAAATACCAAACAAAATCTCCATGCAAGGTGACACTCAGAAGAGCTTCTGATCCAACATACAAGTATCAATTTGAGCAACACACTTACAAATGTAATTTCAAAGTCCACTTTGACGTTGTGATCTCCTTACACATAGGCAATGGGAGAAGACATTTTTATTTCAATTATACAATGAACAGAATGATGGTGGCATCATTATGTAAACCATCTCGAAATTGTCTTAAAAACAATCGAATAGTGCAATAAAAGGAAAAATCATGTTTTCCTTTCTAGAAATTATCATCTTATATGAGTTGCTTTTCTAGTCCTACCAACTCTATCTGACTCAAAGTTAGTGAATTACTTTTAAATTGACACTATCTGCTCCCTCTACAGCATTTTTCTATTCATTATTTCCAGAATTAGATTTGCTCATACTGAGCACATTGTCTTACATATTCTCATTTTTCAAAACAAACACAGAGATGACAGTATTTTAACTTCTCAGCATGTATCTAAGTGCATGCAATTGTACTTTACTCTTCCTTTGATAAAAATCAGTTCAATCCATAATATATTCTACGACAAGACCACAAGTACAAGCTGTTCATGTTATGTCCAAGTTCTTTGCTTCTCTGTGCTGGAATAGCATAGTATTTCATTTTCTTTATCTTTCAAAAAATCTACCATTCAAACCTGAATTAACCAGTTTTGTAGTCACACAAATGTATTCTGCACTTGACACAGCATTGCCTAGGCAATGAAGCAGTGTCTGAATCTTAAAATAGGATGTATTCTCTGTTAAATGCCGGAGGTGTCTAAATCACTCTTTTTCCAAGTTAAGAACATTGAATGATCAAATTCATTCTTAGTCAGCCATGGTTGAAGATTGGTAGTTATAATTCCGTAAAGTAAAAAGTAACTTTCATGCAAAAGTTACCACTTTTTGCTGTCACAGAATCACTCATTTTTTTTCATGCTGCATAGATTTCAAAAACTTGTAAAAATCTTTATTAGTAACCCTATAGATCTATAAAACAAAATTTTATATGACGACAAATCTTCAAAAAGACCTCCAATTTCTCCTAAAATCTATAGTGCATTACATTCTCATCAAAAATTGATCATAAAAATAAATGTGAACTTATCTACTTACAGGGGCTCACTTTTCTTTTAGTGCACCTTTGTTATTTAAAATAGATTCTAAGAACATACACTGTTAGTAATATATAAATGTAATTACTATAAAATGTTGATACCTTTATAATTAAAATTTATCATACCATTTGAGATCAATGTGCTTGAAAATTTAATAGATGTGAATCATTATATTGAGTATGCAAAGAAAAAAAAAACACCAGTGCTCCATCAAATCAATGCATTTCCATGTCACTTTAAATGAAGCATTTCAGTTTTGCTTTTGCAACTCTTTCCCTCCTGTGGTTTTCATCCAGTCTTTATTACATTAAGATACATTTGCCCATTGTAATGGAGAGCAATTATAGCCAACCGACCTACACATTCAGAATGCTGACCTGAGTGAGAACCTCAGATACTTGAAGGAACCTTTACCAGGTAAAGTGATCACATTAATCCTGATATCCTATGTCCACCTATATAGGCTATTTACATATTACTTATTTTAGTACTAAAAGAAATGATATATTCTTTAATTATGAAAAAAATGCATTTATTTTTTACAGTTCTGACTCAAATTAAAAACAGTTATGAGAAAACTGAGGGTCCATTTCAAATTAATATAATAATAATAATATACATAAGCACATCAGTGTCTGAGTAATTCAAAGCTACTACAATCAACTAACATAATATAAAGTTTGGTTTGATTTTTATAATAATGCTCCGTATGCAAATTTGCACACTGTAAAAAGAGCTTGGGTAGGTATCAGCTCTGTAAAAGTAAAATAAGAAGCAGATGTTTGCAAGTTTTTTCGCCGAGCATTTTAATTATTCCTTATTCAAATACTATAAAATGCCTTCTTACCTGCTTCCAAATGTTGAGAGAGAGAGAGAGAAATCGAGATCTACTAGGAGAAAAGCAACATTTGCACTACTTCATTACTAGAAAAGAAGAACGGAATAGCTCATATTTGCAAACAGAGGAAATAACACTTACTGTTGTAAGCAAGGGGACTGAGTTTAGCCCTGCTCAGCGCTGACAGTTCCCGCAGCAGCGTGTGGCTTCAGTCTCATTCCTTCTCTTTTTATAGCATTTTCACAGCTGAATCTTCATGCATCGCAGCGAGCCTCCCTCTTGGAGCATCGCTTCCAACTCAGGCAGGCAGGCAGCTGAAGCCAGAGGGACTCTCCCTCCGTCTGATTGGTTTCCATTCAGCGCCTCTGATTAATAACAGACGGTCCCTCACACGGGGAGATATTGCCACGGATGGCGCTGCAGGGCTCCAGGTTTGGGACAGGGACAGCAGAGACCTCCTCGGGCACAGCGATTTGCAAGCGAATGAAGTGGGAGGGCTCAGAGAGGAGGGCTTCATCAAAGACCCCAGAAGAGAAAAATCACCCAGTGTTTTCAGTTTCAGTTAATCAGCCCCTTTAATCTGTTTGCAGTTGGGAGAGAAAGGTCACAGGGTGTCTAACCTGTAAATCATCAGTAGAAAATACACATGCCATGCAGACAGCTGTTGCTCAAAAGGAATTTCGTGTATAGTCCCTGCAGAATTCACCACCACTTATTTCGGTTCAATGCCAAAATTCCAAGTTTAAGAAAAGAAAGAGATCAAATCCAGATCATATGTATCGTTGATGATAATGAATTTGTATCTGACTCTATGAGTGTATAAACTAAAACAAACTTTCAAACAGTAATATAAAAGCATCCAGTATCAATGCTTTAACAGGTTCTTTTTTCAGTAAAAAGAATATTAAGTATAATTTCAAATTTCTAAAACACTTGGCTTTTTACTTGAAATTGCAATTGAGGGGCTTCCAACCTTCTCTGGAAATGTCTAGAAATCATGGTGACCAGAGCCTTGCCACAAGAAGCAGTCGGTCCACCTGTTAGATTCGCTGTTGTCCCTTGCACAGCTATTAGAGAGGGTAAATCATAACAGAGTCAGACCCTGCTTCAGAGAAGTCCCTTTAGTACTTCTGGAAATGGCACAATAGAAGGATATTGATTAGCAGATAAATCCCTCTGAAAAGAACTAGTAATAGCTGTGTGAGATGTACAGTGGGAATATGGCTCACTTTATAAGGACTCATTAAGCCACAGTAAGTAAATAACTTAAATGCCAAACAATATCAATATCCTATTTGGTGCTTCAAAGGAAAACTGACAATAGAAAATAAAAATAAAATTGCTATTTCTTTTTATATTTTTTCTCCAGTGGTGTAGCTTGGCCATGAAGTGTAGATAATAGAGCTGCCTATCTGAGACATGTGCATTATGGAAATTTATTTCCTAAAAAGGAAATCAAAATGTAGAAAGTACACATCTCCAGTTAAAAGGTGACACCGCTAATGCATGGTGATTGAACTTGGAGTATGCGGTTGTTAAGGAATTGTGAATTTGAAATGTAGGATATGGGGGGGAGGGGGGAAGTCAACTTTATTTTGTTCCTCTACAAATGCAGCAAAAGAAGAGGCAGAAATAAAGCTTTACGCATATTGTTCAGGGCTAGAGAGACCCGAAGGGTTACAATCAGCTTAGTGAATTCTTCATGGAGGCTAAGAGTGTCTTCCTGAGGCAAAAACACTTAATTTAAAATTCACATGATCCTTTATATGTAGTTCTTCAAGGTTTACTTTTTCCTTTAAATAAAAGTATGCATTTTCAAAGTCTCTTTGTCAATGCTGAGATAAAGCGATGTATGTAGAGTGGGAAAAAGAAACCAAACAAAATATTTTATTAGTTTGAGATAAATATTCACAAATAAAATATTTAAATCCCTAAAGTTGCATTCATATCACTTCCCACTGACATCCAACTGAAGGGAAAGATTGTTTGGTGTGAAATCCACAATCCAACAGAGCATTCTACCACCTGATTTGAAGTTATTTTTACTACTTCTTGAAAAAGAGGTGTGTTTGGGGGGAGTAATGCCCAGAAACAAATGGTTACTCTCTCAAGAGCCTTTCTCTTGATTGTCATAGTGATAATGGAGCATTTGAAAACAAAGGATCTAAACTTGGAATTATAGAAAATTCTTGCATTTCGTGTGTATAGGTAATTGTAAGTTTTCAAATATAAATAGCATTCTATATCATATACAGTTTTTAATACTTAGAATAATGCATGTGAATATTTAGCAAATAGATTTGTACAAAAATATTCATCATCATCATTATTTACAGTAGGAATACATGTCATCTATGTATTTAGATATCAAAATTCATTAACAGTAAATGTAAGATATTATTTGATTTATCTAAATTATTTTAGTTTGAATAACTTTTCTTAGCTATTGGTACTTTAAATATATTACCTTATTGAGAAAACATCATGGAATTTTTTTCATGTCTTTTTCTTTGAATATAATGCATCTCCATACTTGGGGATTCCACCTATTTAGTGCCATTCAAGACAACTCATGTATCCCTGCCACACAGAAAAGTCCAACTTCTTTTAGCATTTCATTATTATAAATACTATTCTATTATGCGATAATCATTTTGCAAATTGTTGAGAATGAAATATTGAAAAAAATAGAGTAGGCACAATGCTCATTTATCTAGTGGAAGATAAAAGTGGAAAATAAAAAGGGTGAATTAATGAATAAAATAAACTTTACATTGAAGTGAGCCTTTAAGCATACAGTTGGCCCTGCAGTGTTTAGAGAGGCCCATAAAGACATGGACATTTCACTGGGACAGCCATGGACAGAAGTTCTCTGTGTGGTGGTACCACTCATAGGACCACTCTTGACTTTAGGGCCACCATCTGCTCCTGGTAGGAACTGTTCATTCCTTCCCAACTAAAACTAAAATGCCTTGCCCTGACCAAGAGGCTCAGTTTGTTGGAGAGTTGTTCTGGACACCAAAAAGGTTATAGGTTTGATTCTTGGTCAGGGTGCCTATGGGAGGCAACCTACTGATGTTTCTCTCTCTCTCTCTCTCTCCCTTCTTTCTCTAAAAACCAATATATCATATGGTGAGGATTATCAATTATTTCCTACTTTCCCTAACAAACCATCATTGCTCACATCCCAACTTACATCAAACCCTCTCTGGAGTTGAAGCTTCTCCAATCATCTATCATCACCATGGTTTTTATCACTGTGGCTTGAGGTATCCCCAGATCTCATCAGAATCCCCTCAGATAAATTATGCCTGCTGGTGAATCTGCTTAACTTCAGAAAATCCTTTGTCTCCTCAGCCTTGTCTTTGAATATTCCCTTCAATTCCCTGATCTAACTCAAAGCCCTCTGTTATATAAAAACTATTTTCTATTTCATGTTTCTCATCTGAAAGATATTAGTCCCATAGCCCATGTACCACAGGGCTTGGAGTTGGTCTAAATGATCTCCATTGCTAGGCCATTTTTCCTCACACCTGTATCCATGCTTCCATAGATTTTATCATGATTAACTCTCCTTGTTTAAATCATTTAAATCATTTAAAGACCATAAATTCAGCAACCACTTAGGTGATTCACTCAATGCATTGATTCCTCCTTACCTTGATATTTCGATTTCCAATGATCATTTCCTCCTCTCCATTTCAACTGTAAACTCATGGTCATGTCCTATCAGAACAGAAGACAAAACACACAAAAAAACTTTTTCTTCTTCTTTTGGACAACCATTCTTTATTTCAAGGTGGATTAGCCATGAGTTGAATCATTGAAACTAAATAGGTTTCACCTTCATGACATAATCATGGCCCAAAGGCCCTACCTCTTAACAGCATCACCTTAGGCGTTGGGATTTCAACATCTGAACTGCAAGAAAACACAAACATCAGACCACAGCAAGATTATATATATAATCATCAGACCACAGCAAGATATATATAATCTTTTATACATTATTTTTCTTGGATGATCCTTGATTTGCACCTATGTGTGTGTCACTACTGGTGTTTATTCCTAACCTGTGTCTTAATACCTGAACATGCCATTATAAAAAATGTATGACCTCCAAATTATGTTTTGTTTTTCGGTGTGGCGTTTTTTTTTTCCCCTTCAGAAATCCCAATTCTAACTCCTACTGTCAAATGACTCTCTGTGATCTGATGCCAGCAAGACTACTTCCCCTGCAGGACCTCTCCTCCACTGACCTCACACCAATGTGCATCACTCTTCTGAGATTCCCATTTCTCTTGCTCACTCATGTATAATCCCAAGGCCCATCCCCAAACCACTCCCTTGCATATGCTCCTGTTCTGTTCTCACTCCATGACTGCACACACACAGGCTCCAGGGAGCAATACGTTTTTAGAGAATGGTGGAGAGAAGTAAGGAAAAGGTAAAATGTGGCAATGGAGTATGGGCCAGGGATAGGCTCTCGGATTATGAAGTGATCCATACTTCAAATAGTGCAGCAGAGTAGACTTTTGGAGTCAGAGTTGCTGTTCTTAGTTGTTTTTTGTTTTTTTCTTCATAGTTCAGAGAGCTTTGACAAATTCCAGGCTTTATATAAAAGATGAAAGTTTAGAAAGTTCACAGAATCCTTAAAGTTTATCCTCGTATATTCATAAACCACATAGAACATTAATGGCGTATATGACTCCACTATTTTTTTAGATTCTGCTTATAGCTTTATTTAATACTGGGACCACTATTACAATTGCTATTACTATCAGTTGTAATAACAATAATAATAATAGGCTATAATTTATTGTATATTTGAGTTAGTAGCTATCAGCATTTTTTTAATTTCTTAAAACAACTCTGCAAGTCAGAATTTGTTTTTTTCTTGATACAGTGCAAAGAAACACAGTCAGTGAAGTTATTTTGTCAAAATTCACTTACACAAGAGATTGATAGAACCAGAAGCAGAAACTAGTTCTATTTAAATGTCTAATGTGCATTTTTTAAGCACTATACCCTTCAGCTTCCTTCAGTCGCCTACTGGTAACAAAGTGCATCCCAACTCAGGAACTGATGGACAAAGGTAACTGGAATATTAGGTGTGCCCTAGAGAGATTTCTTATCCTCTAAATTTATACACAGTATAGAATTATATCTAAAATGTTTTTCCTCAGTAAAGAGATTTTTTAATATTATATAGAATATAGGAAATTTAT